TATATATATATATATATATATATATATATATATATATATATAAAATCAGTTTTTATTTTTTTTCTTTATATTTTTTTTTTACATTTTTGCATGTACAAGGTTTAAAATGCTCATGAAATATTTTCAAAAAATACGTTTTGAGCAGCTGCATGTTTGAGCTGCATTCCTAGGTCAAAGATGAAAAAAATGGGATTTACAATAAAAAGTAATTTACAAAATTATATTGACTTGAGTTTATTTATTAATGAGTAACGTATCTTTTGAGTGAATGTGGACATTTTTAATGTTAACAGGTTTTACCATGTTATTACAACATTTAACCACTTTTTATTAATTTAAAAATTGAGAAATTCTTTCAAATTTAAACCTTGTACAAGAACTACAGCAAAAATCAGTTTGATGCATATTTTATCAATATTTTTTAAATTTAATTTGAATATTACCAGTACTGACTTCAATGGATTTCATTAAATTCCTTTGAACACGACTGCTCAAAACAGTCTAAAAGGTGCTTGATATAAAATAAATGGTGCTTTAAAAAGTCCTTGAAAGTCCTTGAATCTGGTGTTCATGAAAGAGTGGGAACCCTGTAACACTAGTACACAGATCTGTAGAACAATAGGTTTCAGAATTAAATGAAATACGCAAACACTATAAGTCTATGCTATGTCATTCAGTAGTTAAATTAGTTAATTTAAATTAGATGCTAAAATTAGATATTAAATTAAAATAAATTAGTTAAATTCAGTAGGCTAGTTAAATTTTCACAAGTCATGCTAAAAACATTCATAAGAGCACTAGACAAACGTATCCTCTATATAGCAATGGTTATTAATAAAAACGGTAACAGTAATATGTATTGTTGCATGAATAATAAACAGCTGATACAATTATCCAGCCCTAACTAGTAAAGTTTTAACAAATTTTGATGCAATAAATAAAAATTGATGCAATAAATCAAAAAATGATTCAACATCTTTCACACTTCTTTTGAAGTGTTTATAGTCTATATATTTAGTTGTATTTTTAAAGATCATTATAGCACAATTCTATTATTTTTTAACACAAAAAAAAGTGTGAAAGACATACACTCTTAAAAATAAAGGTGCTTAAAAGGTTCTTCACAGAACCATTTTTGGTTCCACAAAGAACCATTCAGTCAAATGTTCTTTAAAGAACCATCTCTTTCTCAACTTTTTTAATCTGAAGAACCTACTTTCACCACAAAGAACCTTTTGTGAAACGTAAAGGTTCTTCTATGGCATCGTGAAGCACCTTTATTTTTAAGAGTGTATGACAACATTTACAGGATGCATTGAGGAGGAGCCCAATCTACACTCAGTGGCCAAGTGATGCTTATGATCCATGATATTGGTACAGATTCTGTGTAATGAACAATTCTTTGTGACTGTATATTTCAAGTTGGAAAAGACATTTAGTTCCCTCTTTAAGTGAACCTTAGTTCCCAGGTCATCTACAAGATGGATTAAAATAAAGTCAAGAAAAGATCAGACATAAACACATGACAGTATGATTGAAATGTTCAAATGTAAAAAAATAAAATAAATAAAATGTTTATTCTGTGGCACCTAAAAAAATTTTTGGCACCTAAGTTTTTTCTTACTCAATTTTTTTGTCTGGAGCCCGGCTACTGAGGACTGGAGTTATGCATGAATACAATTTATCTTTTCCAAGACACCAAATATGATCTAATTTTACAGTTTTTATTGTCTCAACTCATGTGTGGCATCATAAGAGATGAGAATGACCAGGTATCGTTTTGTCTCTTACAGAACCACATGGCTCAGGCTAGCTTCCGGGTGCAGGCCTTTGGACAGACCTTCATTTTAGACCTGGAACTGAACCAGTGAGTATCTGCTTCCAGGATGTCATGTAACTCTTTGAGCTCGGAAAAGCACTGGAAAAATGCAGTGTGTGTGTGTTTCTGAAGTGTGTGAGGTATGACTAATGCTCATCAGATCTATTTGCAAAGGGTTTTATGTTGCTGCTGATGGACTGCATGATCATAATGGCTGATGATTTATGCTGAAGGACTGGGAAAGACCTGACCACTCTATCGATCATGACATGTGCAGCGTTCTCTTTCTCTCTTTCTGTCAGGATGCCCTATATTACATGTTGTCTTAATACTGATAAACATAACTATTTTCACTATTTCTTTGTTCTCATTTGGTCCTGTAGTGGCAGTTTTTGCATTTTGTGATTGTTTTGAATTTGAAGCCATAATGCCCTAATGCATTTACTAATATTTTGCCATGACATGAAAACAAGGTCACATTCCACCTTGAAATAAAAAAAACTGTATTTTATATTAATAACATAAAGCCTTTTAAGGGTCCTAAAGATTTCTTGCATTTTTACATTATTTATAGTGTGCAATTTAGCACATCCCCCAAATCCTTATTATCGTAATTATTATTATTTTTTTGTATTTCTCATTACTTTCATTTGTGACTCTCATTAGATTCCCTTTACTGTAATAACAATGAATTTTGTATTTAAATCGGCATAAATTAAAGAACAGCAAATATTGCCATGATGAATAAACACTGTACTATTTGAATCTATTCCTTCTTTACATTCTACTAATTAAAATGTTATTTTTTCTTGCATTATGGTGATGAGAATTATGTGGAAATTATGCCTTATTACGAATAATTAGTTTTGAAATACATTTTGAAGTAGGAAACATTAGTTATGAAAATGTCACAATGCAAAAAACCATATTTTTTGTGCTTTGGGATTTTGGGCTGAAACATGACCTGGCATGTTCTTGACAGGTTTTGTGAGATTCACCCTAGTGCTATAATCAATATTTGATCTTTAGAAGGTGATTTCTTAAAGCTGATATTACTCTGAAGTAGGGCTGGATGATATGGCCAAAAGTTATATAACGATATATTTCTTCATTTCGGTCGATACGATATAATTCCGATATCGATATGAACACTATTAAAAAAAGCCTCATAAAAACTGCCAAGAACACCCACAACAGATGTATGTACCTACAAACTTATGAAAAATTTATTTGCCAAGTCTATGAAACCTATTCCTATAAAACTATTTAATTTTTTAGAGAAAAAAAAACAGCACAAATAAATTAATGTTCACCTTTTATTTGTATTTAGCCTTCATACAAACAAGAAATGTGAAATCACTGTCAAATAAACATCTCAGACTCACCTTATTAATTATTAATATCTTTAATTTCAAACTATTGGCTAACATACCAGTCAAAAGTATTTGAACAGTAAGATTTTTAATGTTTTTTTAAAGAATTATCTTCTGCTCACCAAGCATAAAAGTATTAATTTCTATAATCCCCCCCCCATTATAGTGTATAATGTTACAAAAGCTTTTTATTCAGCTTTTTATTAAGCTTTTTTCAGATAAATGCTGATCTTTGTATCTTTCTATTCATCAAAGAATCCTGAATTTTTTTTTTACTCAACTGTTTTAAATATTGATAATCAGCAAATCAGCATATTAGAATGATTTCTGAAGGATCATGTGACACTGAAGACTGGAGTAATGATGCTGAAAATTCGGCTTTGATCACAGCAATAAATTACATTTTAAAATATATTCAAATAGAAAGCAGTTATTTTAAATAGTAAAAATATTTCTAAATTTTACTGTTTTTGCTGTACTTGGATCAAATAAATGCAGGCTTGGTGAGCAGAAGAGACTTCTTTAAAATATATTTCAATGAAAATCTTACTGTTAAAAAACTTTTGACTGGTAGTGTAGGCTGATTATTCTTATATTCTTATGAAAAGTGAAGAGTTGCTGCAGAAAACAAAAAAATTAAGCAACAACAAAAACGTTGCTGGAGACGGGCTTATTATTGAAAATGAAAACTGATTCTCTGCCAGCAGGAGGCGCATTGAGAGCAGTAGAACTAGCGGTTTCTCCAGTAACGGCTGTAATCAAAGCAGCTCTGCTCATAAACGCTACTTTATCAGATAAAATAAAAATGCCATAGAAACTTTTCTGAAGACAGTCGGTTCTCTTCAGAGATACATTCATATAAAACACCCGCGACGCGTTTTGATTTTGAAACGTGCAGTGCTCATGTTTATTCAACGAAGTCAAACGGCACAAATAAATCAATGTATGGGAAACTGGTAATGTATATCGAAATATAAACACTGGTAATGTATATCAAAATATCGGAAATGTGTTTAAAAATAATTTCACCGTTATTAAAAAAAATTATATTGCGATACATATTGATATTGAATTATTGTCCAGCCCTACTCTGAAGTACTCATTCACAAAACTGAACTATAATTCCTTTATTTCTTATTGTCTTCAGTGCAGATGCTCATTGTACTGTATAAATAATTCCTATGGGTCTGCACCAAAACTCACAGTCATAACCTCACTTCTTTCATATTCATCGCATAAATTCCATCCATTTACTCTTACTTTTACATCCACAACTGCTTTTGTACTTTAAACTGGTGCCAGACAGAGTCAGAGTCAGCAGATTTGATCTCATTATAATAATGCATCATGAATATTTAATTGTTCTCCCTCAGTGTCTGTGTTTCTCCGAAAACATCTTGGTGGAGAGAAAATCTGGCTTTAAGATGCGACTCCCTCTGTGTTTTTGTCAGGCCCTTTGTGAATGGAGTATGTTTGTGTTGTGCTGTTGGCATTCTAATGTAGTTATACCTCTGTAAAGGAGTCACTTTATTTGAGTTTGACATGCAAAACTGCTGTTAGTATTAAAGTGCCCCTATTACGCCTTTTCGAATATTACCTTTCATGCAGTGTGTCATGTAGCTGTATGTGAACATAAACTATCTGTAAAGTTGTGAAGCCGACAGTGCACGATCAATAAAGTTATCGTCTATCAAAAAAAAAGAGTCGGCTCGCAATCGCCTAAACGAGTCGTCAGGAATTCGGATCTTATTCTGTTACGGCTCTACGTCACAAAGTAATACATTTGCATAATGTCTGCATCACGTTCTACGTCGCCAACTTGCCCGCCCACAAACAGTAAAATTTCCGTGTGGTTAACATCATGACGCTGTATCCTACGCTGTGAGAGTAAATTTGTTTTATCACATCTTATAATTACCACAAACGTGTTAACACTTGACACTTACCAGTTACCAGTTACCACTGAGAAACGTCCTGCTCCAGTCGTGCTTGCGAATCAGTCTCTTGTCGATCAGCCA